CCCCACTGTTTTTGTTTTGTGTTGTTGTTTTTTTTTTTTTTCGGCCGGGCGCGCCGGGGGGGGGGGGTTTCGGCTATTACACTTTCGTCTTCATCCTTGTGCGATTCGGATTTCTCGCTGTCGTTCTTGGGTGTTTTGTTGATGGAGCTGACAGACTGCCAGCAGGTCACCACCATCATCTGCATTTTAATTTAAGTTATCTCTTCCGGCATGCCTCCTTCGTTTCGCAACGTTGGGCACTTTGTGATAAACCAGTCTCATTTGTTCCCTTTCGGACGACGAGACGACAGCATGGACGAATTGACTCCAGACCTACCGTTTTCCACTTCATGAAAGCCGCGACCGGCTCGTTCATCAGCCGTAGTCCGGTCCTCATGGTCGTACCGAACGTACCGTAATCAACGGTTTCGGGGTGGCAGTCCAAGATCTCAGCACTGTCGGCGTCGGTAAAGGGAAGGGAATGCCCTCTTCCTCTTCGACCCATTCGGCTGCCTGCGAAGATGCCCCCTCTTATCATGTTTTTCTTGGGGTGTTTCAAGGGGGTCGCGGAGTTGGAGGGCATTTTGTCCTTTTTTTTTTAGTTGTGAAGTAGAGTATTTGTAGAGAGAGGGGTTCAGGCAGGAATGATAAGTAATGGATCGATTGCAGAAATAGCCGGAAAGAAGTCTGCGTGATTGATGATGATGATGATGATGATGATGATGATGATGATGATGATGATGATGATGATGATGATGATGATGATGATGATGATGATGATGATGATGATGGGCAGGATGGTGCTGTCGCGGTTTTGTTTACTTCGGAGACCTATGACATAACCTTGGTGGTGACCCGCCCGTGTCCGTGTCCGTTTGGTGATCTTCCGTCTCATACATCCAGCGGGAGGGGAAGCCTTAGAGACTGGCCAACAGATGGAACCTCACTGGCTCCGGTAATTGTGCGCACCTAGGCGGCCCTGTGAGATAATCTTGCACTGCAGCGTTCGTGTACCACGGCGCCTTGACCCATTCAAGCGGTACCAGTGAACGCGGAGTCATTAACATCATATCCAATTCAAATCTTGGTGGCTCGCAACAGCGTTACCTATTTACCGGCCACTCCAAGACTACCCGTCCTCCTCTTTCCCTCCTCCTCATCCTCACTACTACTCAGATCGTCCTCACTCATACTCAACCTGAAATACTCCCCGTCCGCTCCCGCAGCTGCACCTCCATTCCTTGCCATCAACCCATAACTTTCAGCCTCTCCATCCTCCATTTGCCCCTTTCCGTCTTGTCCATTTCTACCGGCCCTCGCCTTCCTCTGCGCCGCCCTCCAAACCCACCAGCAAACAACCACAGCCTCCATGCCCACGAAGATGCCCACCCCCCATACATCGACCCTACTATGCCCCGACAACAACAGTCCTAAAATAACATTAACCCATCCCGCCACAACCGCCCACCGTCCAAGCCAGATGTGTCCATAGGAAATCCACGTCCTTCTGCGGATTCTAAGGAAATCCATGTGGTGCCTCCATCCCAGAATCACCTGAACCACCAGCGCCAAGGTGATAGCGAGACCAAGCCACTGGTGGAAGGTCGAGGGCACGCGACGACCGGTCATGTATAGACCTACACCAGCGCCGGCAAGGGTGAAAGTGGATGCAAGGGCCTGGACAAGCCAATGCTTTTGGAAGGCATTGCCACCGCTACGGATGAGGAGAACGCCGAGGGGGAAGAGGATGAGGAAAGCAACCGTCATGAAGAAGGCGTGGGTTTTGGGAAGGGGGTTGCTGGTGAGTTTGCCCAGCCAGCCGCTCGCGGACATTGGTTCTTGGCTGGTGCTGAGCATTTTGGCGCTGGGGACGACGGATAAAATCTTGAGCAGGTCGGAGGTGGTTGGTATTCCCACGTAGTCAGTGGAAGCAGAGAGGACGGAGCGCGTCATATCCGCCCAGAAAAAGCCGTATCCGCCTGTTTCCGAGCCACGATGGCGATGCATCTCTAGATGCGCATCCCGGGTGAAGTTGCCGGAGAAATCTTGGCGGTCGTTCCATGCCCAGAGGAAAGGTTGGGAGGAATCTTTGGCGGAAATGGAAGTCCGCCATGTTGCGGGACCGGAGGACCACAAAGAGCAGGAGTAGCAGGCGAGCAACACGTCGGCGACGTAAGTCTTGGTGCCAGCTGCGGGGATGATGGGATGTTCGTCGTGGTCGTCGTGTCTCTTCACTTTCACGTTGCCCTTAGTAGCGGGCACGGTGCCGGCCTCTTTCCAAGTAGACGCCAGAACCTGGACATCAAAGCCCTTCCCAGCTACTGTCCCAAAGTCCTCGATCGGTTGCGGTTGGCGATGTCCTTCCACCGTCCTGACACTGACTACCGGCTCCTTTTCGGTACCGTTAACAGGGTCGCCGTAGACGACAAACATTAGCGCTCCCGCCATGGTCTGCCCTGTGCCGATGGCTGTCCATCCATTTGCGTTCCAGCGAGAGACTGTCAGGTGGAAGTAGATGTCGTGGGAGGAAGTGGTGACGTTGGGGAGAGAGGCGAGTGAGAGGCAGAAGTCGGCGCCGCCGGTGGAGATGTTGGTTTGGCAGTATTGCACCTTGTCATCGGTGGGTGTGGGAGTTGTAGTCGTAGTAGAAGTGCCGAGGAGGGGTTGTGTGAAGAGGGAGGCCGAGAGGAGCAGCGCCCCGAGGACGGACGGGAGGCGCGCCATTGTAGTCTAGGAACCTGGAGACCTGGAGTTGAGGTGAGGATGAGGTAAGAAGCCAGAGAGAAGAGGAAAGTTGGGATGAAAACCTACCTAGGTAAGGTTCAAGTTCGAAATTCAACGGGGGCCTGACGGGCCACTCGGGACTCGGCGTGCGCTAGCAGATCTGCTGCCCGATGGCTGGGAAAGCGGGGCGGCGGGGGATGAGTAGGGCGCTGACGGGGCCGCGTAGTGGGTTTGCTGACGGATGCCCTGACCGATGCAGTTTTCGGCGCTCTTTCCTCTTTCTCCAAGTGACCTGGAATGGATTGAAAAAGTCTTTCAACGTTCTTTCCATTTCTTGTTCACTACTCTAGACCTCCGAATTGAGAAGGAACCGTATTGCCAACTTTGGCGCAACCACAGACACGTGATATTCATTTTGGCGCACAACCTGCGGCTTTTTGGCGCGATTCCTGCCAGCCAGGCGCAAATCCTCACCTCAGCTTCCATGTGCACCGAAGAGACGAGACCACCATGGGCGCTGTCGTGCACCGCTGACCACTGCGACCGTAGACCGATGTCGCCGAGAGTTCCGGCACCTTATCTCCCGCGCGCTGAGTGGCTGACAATGGAATCACACCTCCAACGCCGTGGCACTTATTGCATGGACTTTTTATTTCCGATTGTTCGGCATGAAGTTCATTTCTTTTCACTTGAGGTGACGAGGGAATCCATACCGAGAAGACGGTAGCGGCGTCTGATGGATGCCGCTGATGTGCGCAGGGATCCCAGGGCTCCGGAGTCAGGAACGCCAGGTACGCCAGGGACAACAAACAGCGATGATTGCGAAGAGAAGGAAAGATGGGACAGTGGATCTGAACTTCAGTCAACTTCCATTGTGTGACCTCGTTTTGACTTTTTGAGCCATGAGCCGATGATTGCCATGATAAGGAAGGGACGATGGCCGTACATTCGCATAAGCATATGGCATGCTCGACCCAACCCCGCCCTCCTTCCACTTCCTTCCACCTAGAATAGGGCTCTTTGTAGCCCACCACAATTTTGAATCCTGTACTTTTCCAAATTTCATCGGTGAGGCGGAGAATTTTCAACAACAATTTTTCTCCCTGACAACCACTCACTTGTTACAGTCTTGCCAATACTTTGCCTTTTCTTGCCAGCCTCCCAGGAACACCCTCCTCCATTCGAGCCATGGTTCAAGTTTATACTCTTCACGGGTCAGCTGATTCACAAACCGACATCCCAAATACGCCCTCACTACGACTTGTCCAGATTCCAGTGCGAAGAGGGCTCTGAGAAGACGGTCATCCTCAATATGTCCTGACTGGTGCGACATGATTTCACACAAGCCTGAAATCTTGCCAATTGACCAAATCGCGTGCTTCTTCATGGTTGGCGTTGTAATGATTAGACAAAAGGTCCAAGACGTCTTTCAGAGGATTCTCCAGAGGGTACATCCTGACTGGTTCGACATGATGATGATGCATTTGGTTGCGAAATCACCACCACATACCCAACCCTAACCCGACATGATCCTTGGCAAAACCCATCTTCAGGATCTGGCCCCCTCCTTTCTGACCATTAGTTGACAAAGCTGGACTGTTGCCGACTTCTCCCACCCCTTGCTGCAAAACAAATCACATAACTGATGATTCTAACCATCAGAGATTCAGCACAATTCCAAATCAGGCATTCTAAAGTCGCACAGCACCCGCTATACCCGGTTTTACTCACCCTGTCTGCTCCGGATGCTTCCCTCTCGACATCCAGCTTAAACCGAGCCACCCACCAATTGTTCGCTGTCTAGAAAGAAAATATCTGGTAAACATCATTAGGCAAGCCAAATTCGCATTGAATCACGCACATAGGTCTGTACAAGAAGGGAGCGACCGGCCACACACCGCATCGGCACTTGGTGGCTCCGGGCGGACATACTCACCCGGCATGACATGTCGTCAAAAGAAGAGCTCCGGCCT